TTTTATGCGCGCCGGGCGCCGGCTCGCCAATGGGCTGAATGGAGTCCCACACAAACAGGGACATTCCTCGCATTCCTCCCCACCTTCCTGCCTCATCAACTCACACCGGATTGATCCTGACCCCTTGACACCCGGCATTCCTCCGTCTGCAAAAGCTGGCACACTCCAGCTCTCCAAAAAAAAAAAAAAAAAAGGCGCAGTATTTCCAGCGCCACACAGGACTTTTTCCCCCCCCGAGCCTCTTCGTACTGCTCTTGATTTCTATCCTTTAAAAACACACCAGCTATTATCATTTTGGTACCACTTCTGTTTCTAATAACTTTACCCCGTTCTACCCACTGACATCAATGATTTTTTTTTTTTTTTTTTAAGGAGGTAGGTAGCTGAAGAGGCAAGCAGCGGGGATTCCTAAAAAAAATTCGAGTTTCCTTTTCATGATTTCTGTATGATTTTCATTTTTCGAGGCTGTAGGCGCTTGAAACTCCCCAGGAAGCAGAAAAGGAGCGAATTCTTTTCACTCCATTGGAAATCCTCGAGATGCCTACCTATTTGCGAGACCCTGAATTCTAGATTTCAGATGTAGGAATTTGATCCTTTGTCATTGGAGGTAATGGTTTGAGGACAAGAAAGAGGACAAAGCCCGGATCTGAGACTGTCTGCAGTTTCCTGGGGGAGATTTCCAGCATTCTTGCTTTGTTTTCTCTTAACACGTGGAGGAGTTTGACTATTGGGAGCATAGAGTACCCATCAGTGCTTCTAGAAAAATGGGTCCATAGTTAGGTCAGGGCAAATGATTCGGTGTTGCATATTCGTAGGTAGATGACTCTGGGTGTCCTCTGGGGTTACAGGGTAGGGGTCCACTGGGGAGAGTGTGGTAGGGAGTGTGTGGAGATGAAGGGGGGAGCGGTGTATAGACCAGAGGAAACCAACAAGTAGCTTGGAGTTTCCTTGGGGGCATGTTAAACACAGGAGGAATTCCTAAAAATTTAGGAATTTCACAGTGAAATCTTTCAAGACCTAAGCCCCTCATTACTAGGATCTTTGACAAACGAGTGAATTTTCTTACACTAAAACCTATAATCTTCAAATGTGAATTGTTTTGGTTTGTGTTTAAGTAAAAAAAAAAATGGATTCCATAACAAAAGCAGCATACCTCATTGTATCTGGTTATACGTTAAACATGTCAGTGAATATATACGAGTATTTTTAGTGACTCCCCACCCGTCTGTGAATAGTGATTGTGACTTCGCATTACCCAAGGAGCATCAGGCCTAATGGGGTGAGGTCAAGTCAAGGAAATAATAGGTTTTATTTCCTCCGCTTGTGTGCAGATGTCAAATATGGCCAGTAGAGCCAAGCATATCTTCATCTTGTATTATTGCTGCTTAGCTTCACCAAGGACCCAATTCACTGTGTGTTCTTTCATTTAGAATCGATGTTGTTTAGTGGCGTTTTTGTTAATAACTCCAGCTGTTTTATGTAGAGCGTGATTCCAGGGCCATGCCACTTTTGTCTTCTGTAATAAGACATCATCTGGCAATGGTGCTAGCAAAGAGTAGATTTCCTTTCCAATGAGTATAGGTTGAAGATAAGCCTATTATCTGTCTCTGATGCAAGGCCTGCCTTTAGAAGCAACATATTATAGATCATTATCACTTGAAAACAGCCTATGTAAAATAACCAGAACTTTTCAGTTTCAATTCATTCTATTGAAAAATAGCCAAGACAGAAAAAAAAAAAAATCCTTTCCAGCTTCAGCATAGACCACATCATCTGTGCACAATCACCTCGACCTGGTGAAGTGAGCCCCATGCTGCAAAGGGAAGATGCAGGGTAGTAGTGGGTGTGGCCAGTGAAGGTGGGCCTATGAAGCTCAGGAAGAGTTTTCATCATTGTTATTTCATGTTCTTTCCAAGCATTCCTCAAAGAGAAGGGGCCTAAGAGTTCCTATTTAAAGAAGGAACATTCCAAGTTATGTTAATAGCCCCATGTGTATTAAAGGCAACCTGGCCCCCAACATTTTCTTCCCTTGTGGATGATTTTAAAAGTCCAAAATACGCGGGAAGCCACAGTGAAATCTTTCAAGACCTAAACCCCTAATTACATCCACCACTAGTGTTTGGAAAGGTGTGGTGGATGGAGAAGGGTAGGCCTGTGAAGCGTGAGCCTCACCTAAGTTAGGATGTGGGCTTGGTGGTGAGCTCTGGTAGCTTGAGCTGAGGTAGATGGGAGAATGGTTGGGGAATTTTTGAATCCTCAGGAGAATCTGAGAGCTACCACCAACAGCTTCATGCACAAAACGGGGCAACTCATTCATAGAGGGGATAAAAAGTCGTACTGGGTTATAGTTGGGTGACCTAGAGTGTATTCTTGGAACTGCCTTTTGCAAGTCTTAGGAAGTCACAACAGAAGCCATATTCCCAAGTTTTCATTTCTAAAAAGGGAATAATGATTTTTAATTTCATAGGTTTTGGTGACAGTTAAGTAGATAAAAATTTTTAGGGAATTGGTGCTTTATTTTTTCAGTGTTTTTTGATTTTTTCTATATAGATAACAAATATTTTACCATTCTGCTCTGTTGTTAAAAATGTCAAGATATACAAAGATTTTGGTTTTCTTAAAAAATTCACGTTTCCCAAGTCTCAAAAAGTCTATAATCAAGCTCCCAGTGATAGTTTTAATATTGCTTAAGACAAAATAAGCACATTGACATATACAGAACGTATGAAATCTTAGAGTAGAAGAAAATTCTTTGCATTGTAAGGTTAGGTTGAAGCTTTATGATCAAAATTCTTTTGACAGGTTTAACATAAAAGATTCTTATCGAGGAAGTGACACAGAGACAGAGAGAGACAGTCTTATACATGCACACATACCATACACACCCAGGGAAAGAGAGGTAGAGACAGAGAGAAAGAGACAGAGAGTGAAAGAAGACACCCAAGACATTCACAGACTCCAAAGTATGTTTTTATTGTGATACAGACCATCAAGTGCCAGGAAATTCAAAGGGAAAGGCTGACACTCCATCCTTAATTCATGCCATGGGATCTGAATTCTTGCACTATTATAAATGACTCAGCAAATGTTTGTGTGTGCCTGGGCGGTACAGTGGAAATAGTGGGTTCTTATAACTTGGTCCAACTCTGACTTACCCCAACCCTTTTGATTGACAGCGAGTCAGAGTGGGGAGAAAAAGGCCTTTGAATTTGTGTGCAAAATGGTTAGGATGCACTAATTTTGGCTTGTAAGCAAGTGTTTATCTAGCAAATGCTTTTTAGAGAGCATTCTTCCCCCCTGGTAAAATGAGGAATTCACTAAGCTGGCCACTGAGTCCTGTTTACCAAACTATATAAGGTATGTGTGTGTGTCTACTGGGACATCATTCGTACTGGTCGTTTGGTTAAGTCTTGTAAGATGTTCAGCTGTGGATGTACTACATTCCTTCCCTTATGTTTTTTGTTGTTTTTTCCCCTCTAAAAAAAAGGTTACTTGATCAGGTATCAGACACAGAGAAAACCTGGCAGGACTACAGAAAAGTGGCCAGACTTGGAGTGTTTGTGTACTTAAAGAAGGAATCTTGCACATTTTCAACTTTTAGTTGTAGACATTTTCTTATAAGAGCAAGTAGGAGTCAGTGCCAGCCCTCAAAGCGGAAATCAAAGCTCCCAGAGAAACATACTGGAGGAATGTGAGTCAGAGCCAAGACCCATACGCAATGCATACACAGAGCTGTCAGACTTATAGGAAGCCTGGCCCTATATGGACATTTGGACAGTGAGTGATTTGTCCTTGTGCTGGGTGGGGAGTGGGCTTCCCGTGTTTCTAGCATGCCTCAAATTCAATCATGTAAATTAATTCCACCAAAAAAAAAAAAAAATGGGTATGCCAGAGGCTTTTTGAAAAATAGTAATAAATATTATTCTAAAATCTTCAGGGACCCTGGCTTGGCTTCCATGACCTTCTGTTTGCTTAAGATGAAGGTGAAAGAGAGGACGTACTCACTGGGAGTTCAGAGGCGGGAGAGCAGCACGGATGTTTACTATCTAAATTGCATGTATTTCCTGCTTTTTCATCCTTATAATTAGTTCTCGGACTTTCTTAGGATATTTTCTGAAGGAGAAGTATTTGTCAGAAGGCATCAAGGCTGTGGCATGTGGTTCGTGTCTTATGTTTGCCTGTTCCCTGCTGGTCCATGGAGTTGGGGGCCCAGAGGGATGAGAAGGGAAAGAAAGTTTCAT